CTTTGAACTACTTTCTACTTACCATTTCTTTGTTGTCTGAAAAATATCGATTATGCCAAAAATCACAAAGTTGTTAAACCACCCTCGTAAATGAAAACCGTTATTGTTAAATTTAAACAAGTGATTTTATATATAAATTAACGTTTAAATTGGACATCTTTTAAAAAGGACAAACTTTAATATCCAAAGATCATAGTACAACAAATGTGGCTCAATTGCATGTGGGTCATAAATTTATTCAATGTAAATATAAGCTTATTCTTTGTAATCTGCGTGAAATGAATAGAAACCAAATTTACAAAAGTTAAATAAAAAAGTAGACACACACACTGAATGTGTAAAAAATCTTTGCCTTTTTACACAAAAAAACAAGGGAAGCTCATAAAATTTTTTTTATAATACAATGGGTGGTTGTATATTTTTAATGTGTACGACAAATCTTATCGGTATAAAAGAAAAATAAATATTAGGTAAATGAAATTGTATGTTCCTTAGATTTAAGAAAACACTAATCCGTCTTTTATTTTTAATGGAAAATCATTTTAAATATTTATTATTTAACCACAAGTAGAGAGATTATAAATAATATTTTAAATAAAAGCATATATGTATGAATCATTTAATTATTAAAATGTACATATGTATGTAGATTGAACGTTTATTTGTTTAACAAGAGGATTACAACTCTCGTAAATATGAACACGATTATAGACAAAAATCTGATATTTTAAATTTTAAAGAAGAAACAAGGCATGATAGAGGTTAAACCTTTATTTTAAAGCCAATAGCTATGCTAGAGTATGACAAAAATTCTGTTTTCTAACTTCATTTTATGATATCTCGAAACGAGAGATAGAGAATTTTGAGATTCTTATTGCGATGATTCATGTGCATGAACGTAATATGAACACAAACATTGACGGATTCATCCAACGAGTTGCCACTGGCAACTGCAATTTCATTGATATACTTACCCTCAATGAACTGATATAAATAGGTACTGATCTTTCATTCTAAATCATTACCATACATTTCATCTGCTTAATGATGACTTTCCGGGCTCATCGATTTATTTACCTATCCTAAGTTTTTGGCGTCACCGCTATAGAGAGTTTATTACCTAATATGTGTCTTTGTTAGAAATAATAAGAGATCCGCATATAAAGTTACCATTCTTTATTAAAACCCCTAATGCCACGGACTTGTCGCCCTTTTTTAAGTAATGCCCTTTTTATCACTTCTTCTGAACAATTGAAAGCTCTGAACATTGGAGCAACAACCCTCCATCTTCTCTTCTGATCAACAGGTGGATGTAGCCGCTGAATTTATTTTGTGAAGAGAAGTAACAATCTGGCTTTTAATACCTACAAGTAATAGATCATGTTATTTTCTTTGGCAAGGAATGGAGGTGAGATTAAATATGGTGAAAGTGAATTATAGAGAAATCTTTTTTATTCATTAAATAAATCAAAGCTATGGACACTGAACCTGCAGGTGGAAAATCATGATTTCTGTAGGCTCATCAGTCCGACTGTGAACTCAACGTCAGAGAGCCAACACATCCATTTACAGAGTTATACCGTTCTTTCCAAAAGTTTTTTTATTTTGTCTTATATATGTGCCTACACCAAGTATTGTGCCTTTCCACTATAACTAATCCCAAAAGCCCGAAAGTTTCAATGACCCTATTAAGGCCTGAGAATTAAAGCCTATAAGTTTTGAATTCTGTTATATAATGGCGCCAATTTGAAATTATATTTTTTCTCAGCCAATATTTACGACCACCGTTTAATCGAGAAGGAAAAATACTTAAAAGCTTTAATAGAAATTGTTGCCAACAGCACATAGTGGCTATAAAGGCATGTGTAGCTCTTATTATACCGCCACCCTCGACACCCAGACATACACAAACTGTAAAGGAATCATACACAAAGGACCAATTAAAGTAAAGCAACAAACATAAAATTGTTTCAATAGGAGGGTGGAGATGGCGGCGATTTCGATAAAGGGGTGGTATGGTGTGATGGTAGTGTTGTGTTGTGCTGTGGAGCTATGGTAAGGTGTTGAAGATATTACATCTCATAAAAACAACAACAACAAACAACAGCAATAACAGTCTCAGTCATTTGGTTAGATAACAACACAGGAAAAATATATACTTATAGGAAAAAAGCACAGTGAACACGAAATAGGAAAAGAACGAAACATTACGACCCTTGAAATGCGTCAAACACGCGTATGTATTATGACAAGATATTCTAAATGTGGCAAACATTCTACATACTTACACCATCGTGATACAGTAAAACATTGAATCACAATCTCTGTTTGTCTGATGTTATGTCCTTATATCCATATACCCTTATTCATTCTATTTTTTTTTTTCATTTATATGCTGTAAAAAAATGGTTGTTGGAAGGGGAAGATTACAATAACATCAGTTTAAGTCACTATTTTGCTATGAGTATTTCAAAATGGGAAATTGCCCATGCCGGTAATTTTTACTACTACGTGTTTTCATTACACTACATAACTAAGTATAGTGTGTTTATGCTGATGTTTCTAACCCATAAAAATATCCAATCTGCCCTTCACCAAATATTATGAGGATTAATGGCCGAATTTTTGACTCTAGACCCCAAAATTTGATATAAATTTTATTTCATTATATATCAAATTCTGTAAAGATATATTATTGAACCCTACTTTTAATACTAGACCTTTCATAAATCTCTATTGTAGGGAATATCCATTTATAAGTTCTTGCTTTTTATTTCTGAAAACGTTTGTTGGAATTTTTCTGTTCTAAATTATTTCTTATTCTCCCCTCATCCATCTATCCATTCAACCATTCATCCGACCACATTTTCCATTGCGTTTTATTTACTCATAAACATAAACAACACACAAAAGTGGAAGTTGGCAAGTGTATTGTATATTCAATGATGGTATTGCTTTATGCCGGTGATGATGAGGAAGGTGGTGGTGGTAAAAAAAAGAAGAACTTATGACAACAACGCCATGAGTTGTTGAAACGTTAAAGTAGCAAAAGTGTATAATAATGTCTAGAACTACGACAGTAGCCGTATGTATATAAAATAGCAGCAGGCAAAATAATAAACGGAGAAAGAAAATAGGAATATGGATATTGTAACAACTTGGAATAAAATAATGTCACTTGGTAACATACACTTGATAATTTTTATGTTTCTTTGAGTGAATGACTACATTTTTATTCTGTGTTGGAACATGTAGCAGATGTCAACAATTGCATTCGTTTATGAAATATGTTGATATCTCAAGTTCAATTATCAACAGGATTTTGATAGAATAAATCTGTGTATACAATTTTTGTTGACGTAAAACTATTGTTAAACAAATTATGCTAGTGATAAACAGGTAGCATTTAATAATAGATAACAATTTTACAAAATTTTTATAGTTTATTATAAATTTAAATATTAACACCCGTATTCGTAAATGATCAATAAAGTAACAAAAATTTTCTATGGAAAGGGTGTTTAGAAAACTATTTCAGAAGTACCTATCGCCAAGCTAAGAATTGCATTTTTACGTCTAGTAAAAATATCAATTCACAATGACTGTTAGTTATATTGTCATTTGTTTGAAACATATTTTTAATATACAATATTTTCATTTTTATATTGGTTTCTTCTCATTTACTATAAAATTCGGGGTTTTTGAACTGAATAATAAAAAATATGTGGCTTTCAAAAGAGTATCATGTAGTTTGGGTTGGATATGGCTAGATCGTCTTAAAATCGAATGAGAATCCCCATTTTGTTTTGGTGGTGAACGTTTTATGCTAATTTATTAATCACTCATGAAGGTTTAGATTAAAAATATGACTACGCAAGTAAATGTGTGTAAACACAATACCAACAGCTGATCCAGAGTAAATCCTCAGAGAAATACAATGTCCGGTGCTATTGCCTACAATATAGTTATTACATAACCTTATTTTCTTAACGAAATACTTAAGATTATTATGTGCAGGGATGATACCAATGTACATACATTCTACAATTCCATAGAGCCTTAGTCTGCTTACATCGTAATGAATTGTCCCAGGGTGTATCGGATTCTATTATAAGCGCTTCTCTTATCTTCCTGTATATGAATTCAAGACCAGGATAGACTACCTCGCATGCTGTTTTCTTACTTAACTTCCTATTTGCATGGGATTTTAGTAAGCGAGAGTATTAAGTACTTACTCACCGTGTTAAAATGATATTGTGTAAGTAAGCATTTTAACCTTACTTTTCAGTGTAAGTCCTTGCAGATGTGAGTTACTTTTCTTTTATAAGTAAATAATGTCCCATATCGTTGATTCTTAGTTGTGCACTCTGTTTGAGTTGGCTAGAGTTGGTCTGACTATGGTTTTGTATATCCAGTTAATGAGACGTTGTCAAAGCCTCCATGCCTTCCAGATAAGCTTCTAGCAAGAGTACATTTCATTTATATTAGGTATCCTATTTATCCATTGATTTAGAAACTTAAGAACACGTTCCATTATCTCAGCCCGTATACATATTTGGAAATTTTCCCTTCACATTTAACACTACATCGTCGTCATAAGCGACTGTAGCGACACCAATTCTCTTGATTTCTATAAGCATCTACGATAATCCATAATGTAGGCGTTAGGAAACTTAAAAATGTCTTGAACAGTTTAAAATAGTTATTAATTACGTTGAAAATCAGTCTATAATTTATCACACTTTTATAGCAGTTGTAGGGTATCATACGGTTGCAGCAAACTGAATTTTATCTTTGAATTTAAGCAGTTCTCATTTGACCATTACTATTCATATAGTTTAATTTTATATTTACACAAATAAAAACTACAAATAAAGAAATAGACAAATGTTTTTTTATACAAAGTTTTAACATAAATATGTTAACTAAAAGCAGTAATATATACAACAAAAATATATCTATAAACAGTTCCAAAAAATAATTTTCATTAAACTACTAATTAAAAACTACTAATTCCCAATAAAAAAAATTTGTGAATTTCCTTTTTAAAACGTTTGCAATTTTAGTGTTGAATTAGCTGTGAATACAATAAATAGCTTTCCCCAAGAATTAGAAATAAAAATTCGTGTATTTAAAACCGAAAACAAGAAGTAGAGCTTTAAAAAAATAAATAAAAACATTTTTACAAATTAGGCATATTTATTTGATTGGCTATTAACTAAATAAAGAAATAATGAAGCAATTGCTTTAAAAAGATAACTTCTTAGTTTCATTATAAATCATACTAGTGTCAACACGAGTGTTGGATATAAGGCTTATTATGTCGTATTATGCTTATAGTAAAGAGGTGATTAAAATTCACACTAATTTAAATTTAGTATTAAATTAGAGAACAATTTTTTTGTAGCAACGTGTATCATTTATTTAAAATTTTTTAGATACAATTTTGCTTTATTTTTTATTAGTAATTGACATATGTGCGTATAAAATAAATCAATATCAAAAAAATATTAACAAAATTTATAAGAAATCAAAAAATTAAAATAAAAGCAGTTAAATTGTGTTTACTTGTACGCCAAAACGATTTATTATCACAGATAATTGTTAATTTTAGCTTTGTGTTTGTTGTGATTATTGAAAATATTAAAAATTAGTATTCGTTCATAATCATCTTGTATATAAAACATTTTTGCAAAATAGAAAAATAGATAAAACAAAAATATTTGTGTTATTCTTCAATGAAACAAGCTGCTTTTAACGGAATGCATACAGGAGAGAATGATACAAATCACAACCAAAAAGCATACAACCACGATGACGATGAAAAGGAAGAACAACAGATTATTGATATGGCGTTGATAGAAATGAATAATGGTAATTATGATAAAGCCATCTCACTTCTGGATAAGGCTAAACAGCTGTACGCTAGTTCGAGAGCAGAGGAGTTACAGGAATTAATAATAAAATTGCAAACAAATGCATTCCAAGGTAGCGAAACAAAGGCAACAAACAGCACAAAACCAACATCATCGGTACGTCAACGTAAACATTCTAATACAGATGCAAAAAATCCATCAGAAGAATACAAATCACAATCGGACTTTACCAGTGAACAATTAAATTTGGTAAAGAAAATAAATCAGTGCAAAAATTATTATCAAGTTTTGTCGGTATCTCGTGAGGCTACAGATAGCGAAATTAAAAAAGCTTACAAGAAGTTGGCATTACACCTACATCCCGATAAAAATCATGCTCCCGGTGCCGTTGAAGCTTTCAAAACCCTGGGTAATGCTATGGCTGTATTGACAGATGCCAAAAAACGCAAAGAATATGATTTATCTGGTGGCGATTACATAACACCAAATGGCAACTCATCAAATTTCTATAAGAGCACTTCATCTTATCAACAGTATTACAGTCACAGTCATCAACATCATCATCATCACAGCTCTTCGGAAGGTTCGTTTAGTGGCGGTGAAGAGTTTACAGCAGAGGAGTTGTTTCATATGTTTTTCGGCAACTATCCTTCATCTCAGACCCACTATCGTCGTCGGCCATATCAGTCGGCTAATCAACGACAACCCCAAGAGCAGGGTCAACAGCCAAGTTTGGCATTCGGTTTACTACTTGTAATGATACTGATGTCAATGTTTATGTCTCTATTCTCAACGGATCCATTATATAGTTTATCACATTCTAGGTAAGATCTCACGAAAAATATACTCATAAATCGTTTATATGCTAGATATTTTCATGTTTATTGATTCGATATACAATATTTCAGTACTTAATAATGTATAGAGATAGTTTCTAAACTGCGTACGTACATGAATATATCTAATGCATAAAATTGCAGGTTCTTTTCTTCCCATAATATAAATCACTTTTTATCTTATTTTTTAGCAAATATAATGTGCGTCGTCAAACACAACATTTATCTGTTCCTTATTATGTGAAAGAGAATTTTGATAGTGATTATCAAGGTTCATTGGCGCGATTGGAAAATTCAGTTGAAGAGGATTATGTCTACACTATGAAACAACATTGTTTTCGTGAACGCAGTTATCGTAAGTTATATAACTCTATAGTAAATTAATTTTGAATAAACACTTGTCATGTTATTTAATATATAACACATTTCTTTTTCAATTACAGGTGAAGCAATGATGGCACGTGCTCGCAGTTTTGGTAGTCGCGCACAGTTTGCTCAGGCTCAAGGTTTAAAAATGCCATCCTGTGATAATCTATCGAAAATTGGCATTACACGTTATTCTTTGTATTAAAATACAATGTAGTAATTATCTATTCAATATGTTATGTATACATATTAAACCATATAAGCGATTTAAATCGACGCAATATTCTTATATTTTAAATGTTTATTTAAATAAATAAATCTTATAAAATTATTAAAATATCTCAAAAAAGAACTAACTACTTGATACATGTTACAGTATCATGTTACAGTATTATGTTTTAGAAATGAATTAATAAATAAAAATTACTATGAATACAATTATGATTTGTTGGGATTTTATTTCTAATGTTTCCACAGTTGTGGAGCTATTCACAGATTACTTGATATGGGCTTGATGTTGATTAGGTATATAGTATATATGTAGCTAATTATTTGTCATGTAGTGATGAAAAGTATGACGATTAAAACAGTTCCTATCTACAATCAGTTAAAAGTTGACGATTTCTTTTCCGGTTCGAAATTCTATGGATGTGAACCATCTCTTTTTGTTTACAATCTCAGAAGAGTTCTCAGACACTCCTTTCAAAATAACCCAATTATTGCAAAAATTATTTATTAAAATTGTTTTTATTTTTTTTTTTATAAATTTAATTAATCGGCTAAAAGTTACAAAATCTAGCTATAACTGGAAAAAGAAATTGTGTAGATTATCCAGGCAAACTTTTTTTTATAAAATGTTTTTGTTAATGTTGTGTTATAATTTAATATTAATTTTATAGGTGAATTTATCATTATAGACTTGAATGATTACTCAAATGTTGAATTAAAAAAATTTACAAATTACTATTATGCCTAGAAGGAACCCATTAGTTAACTGAATCATATGTCACAATCATGTAAATAGTAAAACTATTCATACTGCACATATATTATATGAATGTACATTTATTTCAAGACTGTCATAACTTTCTACATAGATTTTTTTATAACTTTTAAAATTTATTTATGTGAAATATGCATGATTTTAAATTTAGCAGGTCATTGGAGATTGTGAATTATTGCGAGTATTAGGAATAATTAAGCTATTGAAACTGTTATTATTTATTTTTTAAAATATATGTAAGTACATAATTTAAAAATAGTAAAATGCTTTAAAATATTGTAAACCTTATTTTCGAAATGAATATTTTTTGATTTATGACAGTTTTAAAGTAAATAAGCTTTATGTACATATATTTCTATATCATCAAACCCTGTTAAGGACATTTGCTTTAGCATTTCTTTTACTAAATACGTATGCATGTCTATGTATTTGAATGGATGAAATGCTTTTTTGTCAGTGAGTTTGTTTACATTAACACAATTTTAAAAGAGAAAAAATAAATAAAAACTTTTATGTACAACTATACTAAATATTTAGTTCTTTTTGATATAATCATAGAAGATATTCGTACTTTTATGGGAATGAATGTATATGTGTGCAATTGTATATGTATACAACAACATATTGTGAGCGTCAAAAGAAAGTGTATAAATTGATAAGATTTTAGGCTGTTTAGGTCGTGCAACTTGAAACTCGCCCTTTTATTAAGCAATGCGATATAGAATCCACCTCTCACTCTCTTCGAAGACTTGGATCCATCAGTGTAGATATCAATCGATCAATTTACTGAATGAAATGAGTCAGACTTTATCGACACTGTAAAGCTCATGTCAGGAAGGAGGTTGGGAGAGCAGAAGTTAATGTTGCCGTAAATGTAGGTCGCATTACCAGACGCCAGACTCGTTAGATCTCCAGACTCTAACTGCCGAGTCTAGGCCAAGTTGCTTGATCGTAATATCAGCGGTTAGTGCATAAGTACAAAAAATAGAAAAAGTGCAAAAAAACGTATAGTTACTACATTCGGTCATTAAAAAATTTTAAATATAATCAATAACTGTACTGCAAAAAAGGATTTAAGAGAAGTAAAACTTATGTAAACGTTCTTTTGACCCCCACTGTAGTTCATATATATATTTATATCCTTAGTTTTGTGCTATTTCCGGTTAATGTACTTATTTTAGGTTGAAAGCAACAAAGAATATTACATATAATAATGTCTTTTTCTAGTTATTAGTTTACCATTCCGTACCAGTTCAACATTTAAGTCATGCAACATAATGTAATGAAATTAGATCATGAAGAAATAAGTACAAACTTCTAAAATTTGTACATACTGAAAACTTTAAAAAAGTTTTAAATTAAATATTTACAACATTTTGCACTTAAATACAAAATAAATTATGTAAATAAATTCACCATTTGTAAGTTTTGAGCTCCTTGATAATAACATATTAACCTCGTATGCCATTGGATATAGATTGGTTTTTAATTAGTTATTTTTATATTTTTTGGTTTAATATGTAAGGTCTAAGAATAAGAATTGAACATTAACAATGGAATAACTTAACTTAAATTTATTTTTAGGCGAAATGGATGAACTAATTGAAAAGCTAAGAGCTACAAATGTTAGCCCCACCAACACTTCAGACAACACAACAACAATTCTAACCGAAATATCAGCCACAAAAGATCCAAAACTATTTGATAAACATGATTTGGCTGAATTCTTTTTGAATTTGACACAATCGAACAATGTGAATGTACGCAAAGAAGCAGCCAAGTGTATAGCGGAAATAACCAAATCCGAAGTACAACGTAAGAAATTTACAAAACTTGAAATTATTAAAGTCTTCATCGATTGTCTGCGTAATGTGAATAACGAAACAGAAACAATGGAATTGCCCATACAAATCTGTAGAGCTCTAGGTAATATTTGCTATTTGAACGATGAAGCACGAGATATAATACTCGATCTAAAGGGTGATGTCGTTCTTATCAAACTGTTGGACATCACAGATGTTAAGGATAAAACGAATGCTTTGCAGTTTATCAAAGTACGTGGTGGCCTTTTGTCTAATTATTTACTTGGTGGCGAGGGTTTAGCAAAACGTGCCATGGAATTAGAAATCATGCAGAAAATTCAAAACATTATTGCCATTGGTGTAGAGAATGTTGAAGAAAATGAGGATTTGTTGTTGAATACTCTGCCCCTAATGAGCATACTCACGGAAAATGTGCCCGATTTGAATTTTGATGCCAGTCTAAACATACAACTATCACGTATACTGGCTGCATCAACAAATCCCGATTTAGCGGAAATGTGCCTTGAACTTTTACATTATCAGGCAGAGAATGATGATGTTAAATTATTGCTAGCAAAAGATGGCCTTTGCGAAACCATTTATCAGTTGCTGGAAAAATATAAAACTTTGGCGAGTACAAGTGAAGCCAGAGCCTTAATGAAATTGGCCTGTGAGCTAATTGTCTTAATTCTCACTGGTGGTAAGACATTCCTGCGAATTTTTTAAGAGCATTTCTAATATTTATATGATTTCTCTAACAGATGAATCTATGCACTATTTGTATTCCACATCATTGCTTAAGAATATGGAAGATTGGCTGGATTCAGATGATGTTGATCTCTTAACTACTGGCGTTTTGGCTTTGGGAAATTTTGCACGCACAGATAGTCATTGTATTCATATGGTGGAAAATAAAACCATGAATAAGCTGCTGGAAGTCTTGGCGAAAAACAATGGCGTCAAGGACGATGTGCGTCTACAGCATGCACTGCTGAGTACTTTACGCAATCTTGTGATACCGAAACCAAATAAAGGTGCTGTCATACAAGCCGGTCTTGTGGAGACTATACTGCCAATGTTGGAAATTCATCAACCACCTGTCGTTTTCAAGCTACTAGGTACACTCCGAATGACAGTAGATGGTCAGGGTAAGTAATTAGATTTTATAAAAATTTCTAGACTTAATTTACATAAAATCTACATATTTTATAGAAAAACTTGCTTTGGAACTATTGAAAAATAAAAATTTAATTGAACAATTGGTGCATTGGAGCAAGTCTTCTGATTATGCTGGTGTGACGGGAGAGTCATTACGCCTAATGGCCTGGCTTATTAAACACGCCTATCTTAGTAAAATAGCCTATGCGTTGCCACGCAAAGGAGATGCTCCTGCAGAACAGCTGGCCGATAAAATACCACCCATGGAATACGATCGCACCAGTTTAAATGAGTTCATCAGCAATGATTCCACCATTGAAGCTATGGTCAATATGTTAACATCTCAGCATTTGGTGATGCAAAACGAAGCGCTCATTGCCTTGTGTATACTATGTGTTGTCTATCTAAGTTCGTCCACGTCCCCGCCATCAGATGAACATGCCCAGCTGCTGCAAGATGCCTTCATCAAATATGAAGTAGGTAAGAAATTAGCAGAACTGATAAATAAATCATCAGACACAATGACAAAAGAAATTGTCGAAAATCTCGAGAACTTTACAAATCTGCTGCGTACCTCTGACAAACTAGTTGCACACTTGGAACAGCATAATATAAGCGAACTACTCAAGTCGATACCAATACTAACAGAATATTGTACAATATAAATTATGCAAAAACCACTACAAGATAATCAAACAATCGATCGAGTGTTGCTGAATTTTGAGTGAAATCAATTAATATTAGAGAAACATATATGAGAGTTGACACTAAAATTGCAATTTCATTTCTATGAAGATTTGTTAATTTTTATACTTAAATTATTAGATATTTTTTCTTTTTGTTGAGACAGCAGTGGTGGATTAGAAAGTGATTAGAATGGATGCAAATTTAATATACACTAATTTTTACGTTTATGAGATTTAATCGCTGATTATTATTTTCCTTACTCTTCTACTTTTTATACAAATACTTTTTTACAAAATTTACTTACTATATTTTGATCTTCCAAAATATATATTTTTTTAAATGGAATTATGTTGTTGATAATATTCTTTAACTGCATTTAATGTTGTTTAATATAATATATACTTCATATGACAAAATTTATGTAAATGTTTTTAATTTTCTTTCACTGACGTTAACTCATGGTCTTAATGATGAAAGCAAAATAGTTTATTTTCATAAAATTATAATATATAGGATTGACTAAATATTAAAAAGTTTGGAAACATTTTGTAGTGTATGCAAACACAAAAACTTATTGTGTTTGCAATAAAAAAACAATTTTATGTAAAATTAACACAACTTTTCCTGAAAAGCGCCTTTTAATATTGAACACACATACAGCTTTGATAATTAAGACCTTTGGTTAAAGTTAATTGTAGAATTTTTTTTATTTTATTGTAATTAATGTATAGAATTGACATTTTTCCATTAAACTGAAAATTTACTTAAAGTACTTCCATTTAAAAAACTTTATTCTTTATCTGAATGTTATTTATGAGTTATAGAAATTAAAACCCCCATTTATATGTTTAAGTATGTGAACAACTTATTTGAAAATTTTTTGCAAAAATAAAATAAAGAAACAGTGGTAGTAACAATCTTAGGACAACGATTCAAACATTAGACTTGTAGTTTTTAAGCATAAATATATAGAGATACATTAAATAATGAAAAAATTACACAAAAACACGATATCCCTCGAATCATAACAAATATGATAAACAATTTCAAAATGTATTTAAATTATCAGTTACCAAGAAAAAGAGCACTTAATATTTTCTAAAGTTTTCAAAACTCAAATTACTTAAGAGGCATGCATATATTTCAAGTTAATCCTTTCACTTCAGATGAGAATAAAATGTCCTACATTAGGAACGAAAGAACCTAATACTTACCGTGATTAAAATATTCTAAGATTTCTGTTAGAGGAAATCGAACAGTTTCCGTCAATAAGTAAATATTGTAATAAAATTGATTTCTGATTGTGAAGCAAATTCATATGAAAAACCTATAGAAAGAACGCTAAATAAACTCCCTAAATTTCGTGCCAATGTCAAATGGAATATCTAACTCTCGTAAATGATCAAAACTTTGGAAAATTATAAAAATTCTGCTTATTTATTTAAATCTAAAAGATATCTCTAAAGGTTGGATAATTTTAAATATAATTTATTAATTGTAATATCATGCAAAATAGATTATTAAAAAAACACATAATGGTACATTGACAATTTCAATATAATGGCCTTTAAACTAAAAATGATGATTAAGATAAAAAAACCAACATTTGAATCCTACTAAAAAGAAATTACATACACACAATACAAATATATATTTCAAAAGGCAATTTAACAATGCAAAGTAAGATTTTTAATTAAAGTATTATAAATATACATTTACATATAATTTAATTTCAATTAAATTATAAATTATATATAACATTTTCCTTTTTATTATATTAATTAAGCACAAATTCCAGCACAATATTAAAAAAAGAAAATTATTAATTATTATTGTTAGCAAACTTGCATGATAAAGTTTAAAAATAAATAAATAAAAAATAAAAATAACAATCAATAACCAAAAAAAAAGAAAATATATTAAAATTTATTTTAAAATTGTGCAGATTTTTTTTTAATATTATTATAAATATGAATAGTTTTGCATTTATACAATAAAAAATAATAAATAATTATTTATATATACATACATATTTATATGCATACAAAATAACACACATACATAAAAGAAAACAAATAAATAAATAAATATATACATAATTACATGTAAGTAAATTGAAAATTTTCAAATAAAATTTATACACACCAATCTACTACTTTAATAATTCAAATAAAATTTGAACATACAACTTTATTTTCTCTATATATACATTTTAATATGTACAAGTATATAATTTGGGTTGTAATTTTTTAACGCAATTACTTTGTTAATCCAAAAATCGTCTAAGAAAATATTTTGGTATGTAAAATCACAGTCATTTGCAAAAATATTCAAAATGTCTTCTTATAAGTATTTCTGGACAAGCAAAGTGGTTCATTTTTTATTTAAAGAAGAAAAAATATTGTACCCATAAATATTAAACAGAAATGTAGTTAAGAGGCACAAATAAATTTAATGAGAAATGCTATTTATTAAATTAATAAAAGTTTAAAATTACACAAAAATGAAATGGTTTTAATTTAATTTTAGAATTTTTTTGCTGGGTTATTATAACACATAATTAAATTATTTTGTAAAACTAATAGGTACTAATTACAAAAAAAATTTCAATTATACTGAAAGTAGTTTCATTCCGAAAATTTTAATTTTACTTTTTCTGAAGAAACATCAACAGTTTGTGTTCAGCCCGAGTTTTTACTTTCATAGACTACAGCTTACCTAGTTGTAGTCTATGAAGACCAAGGAGATATTTATACCTGCATGGATCCATATGGGGTCACAGCGCACTAGCTATCGAGCAAGTTTGCTCACGCGACCATCGGTCACGAGCAATAGAGTAGCAATTTTCACTAATCTGTTTCTTTATTGCAAGTAGTGGAACACCGCAGAACTGATATATTTCCAGTCTGCTAAGCGTGGTTCCAGCTCACTTTTCATAGAAAACTAACTGACACAAGGCCTGCGTATTTTCACTGCAAACACAAAAAAAGTGATTTTTGTAGAGATACATATTATAATGTTTAACATGATTATAAGCTCAAAAGCTTTATTCGGAGGGGAACGGTTATATGAATGCTGGGTGAAATAATGAACCGATTTTGTCCTTGGGTCAATAGAAGAGTATGTTTGTTCCAAATTTCATCAAATTATTTTGAAAATTGCGATCTGTAGCGTGCGCACAAGGTTTATATGGATAAACAGACGGACGAACAAACTGACATATTAGAGATTATGGGCCGATTGGAATACTTTAAGGTACATAGGTATTGCACCAATATTTTTGGAAAGTCGTCCGAACTTTTTTTGACGTCCGAATTTTCCTTACTAGGAAGAACGAAAAATTCATCCAACCAACTTTTAAAGAATGACTCTAATAATGCAGTATTATTTTTTTCACATGGATCTCTTCAAAATATCAAACGTATATTGGTAATAGATATCGAAACGAAATCGGGAGGAAATTTTTTTTACCATTTAACTGGATACATATCTTAGATGATGAGCAGCATTGTGAATCCGGCTTAAAACGTTAAATTCAAATTGATAACATATTAAGAAATATAACATGATTTCTTTAATTGAAATATATTTAGCCCTGAAAATTTTAGATAACTTAATGAAATTAATTAACGGCCTAAAAGTTAATTGTTATAAACATCAGTTTTTTACAAATACAGATCTGAATATAATGAATTTTCTGAAATTCAAACGAAAAATTTAATTTCCTATTGGGCTTTTCGGAATTTGAAGAAAAAAATTCAAATAGAAAATCTCAATTTAAAGTAATATTTTTAAAATTCATAATAAAAATTTAAAATTTTTAATTGAAAAACGTGTAGTATCTCTGAAAGTAAACAAATATTTGTGGAATTATTGACGAAGTAATTAAAAATTTGATTTAATTATAACACCGTCCGACAAAAAGAGACTAAGTTATAAATTTAATGAAGAAAAACTGCATTTTTTGTTTTTAATTTCGTGATCCTGTGTCCCTTTTTCAGTTATTTTTCATTTTGCAAAAAATATTTTAAAATACTTCTTTCTGCTGATCAAACAATGCCAAATTTTATATCATGCGAACAAGAAGATTTGTGAAATATTTTGTATTATTTTTATTTTATACTGTCAGGATAAAAAGATGTCAAAAATGTCTTTTAAAATTTTTATTCTTTAATTTATATTAAGGTTTTCAATATTATTTTTTGAAAAAAAATTTTGAAAGTCTTTTCGCATCTTTTTATATTTTTATAAATATGTAATTCGAAATACTTTACAACTCTTCTTGTTCGAAAGTTCCAAATATCTACCAAATATCGATTAAATCTATCTGAACTGCTTATTTAACAACAAGAGAATATATTTCAGACTGCGCGTTCTGCAAAAGAAAGATTTCGGAGAACTATGTAAGTGTTTAAGATTTATCTAAAAATAGATCAAAAAATATAAAAAATTATTTTATTGAATAAAAAAATTTATTCCATTCGACGCAGAAAATATTGATTTTTTATATTGTGTTGTATTAAGTCCTGAATTTACATATATGAAAAAATCTAAAAATCCCGATTTTTAAAATATTTGCTTCTAAAATCCCACTTTTTAATTACTCGGATTCCGTTTTTATAAACTTTGCCGGCTAAAGACGATTTTTTATGTGTCAGCGGCCGCCGCCGTTAATGATTGTCAGCGCAGGGATCTGGTGTGTGCTGAGCTGTCAACTGAGAGCTGAGTTGTCTGTTTTTTTGCCAAACGAAAAATTATAATTTTTCAAGAAAACTGCAGAAAATATTTAATAAAGAGTTGAAAAAGTGCAAAAATAATAATTAAAATATAAAACTTGCAATAGTTTAAACAGAATTTGTGTTGAATTTAAATAAAATAATATTTTCTCAAGCAAAAGGGAGGAGATACTAATAAAGCAATAGCAGTGTTTATTCTCGAACTTTGAAACCCCTAATTTGTTAAATTACAAGGATCTTTTTCAATAAAAAATACAGATAAACTGTAAAGAAAGAAAAATTATTCGAGGTAATTGCGATGAATATTTTGTGTTGAATAATATTTTGTTAAAAATATTCTTATTGAAAATAAAATCACTGAACAAATATACATACAAAGTATATATTTCTGCTCGTTCGTATTAGGCAGACTAAATATCGTGTGCCCGTGATGGATGCACATTCCAATTATCGTTTTTTCTCAGTTTAGTTCATTGTGTTGTATGATTTAGTGAGTGAGTGTATGTTCGTTCGTATATGTACGTTTTGCCCACCCCGTGAATTTGCGTTTTCTTGTTTTTCCCACTTCATACAAATTGTGTGTCAAAGGCAAATGTCAAAAAAGAAAGAAAGAAAATAAAATCAACTGACGACGTCATCTTATGTTGTTCTACGTCACGGGTATGTCTAGCCGGTACAGTGGAATAGATGTACCCAATCTCCCCCTTTCATTAACATGTAGGTACAAATTAAAAAAAGATCATGAAAAAACGTAGGGCCATCCAATCTATAAGTGTAGTTACGACATTCTATTTATATGGACACCATCGTTATAGTGTTCATTTGTTATCATTTAATTTTTTCTAGTTGTTTATTTTTTGTGTTCTTTATTAAGTGTGAATGAATGAATTTTTTCTTATTGTTTCTGCAATTATAAATTTGCTTTTTATTTTCTTTCCTATAGACCCGTATGTTTATTTTTGATACTCTATCGACTCGATTTCAAAGTATTAAAAAATTATTCTCTTACTATTCAACAACCTTTGTGTGACTGCGTTAATGTGAGTATTGAGAGTGTTAAATAGTAGTGTCGTGGATAGAATATCTAGGTCAATATCAATACTGACATACTTCCGTTTTTTATCATTTCGTATTTAAATTTAATTTTATATTTTGTATATCTTTGTTATATACAAAGTTGAATGATCTTGCTCAGACTTTTTAAATTAAATCATTGCCATTAAATGTGTAAATTTGATTGCCATTTCATTTGCGTTCCACATATGTACCTACACACTTTACGGATTTCATGAATACTATTTACTTTCCTTTAAATTCGTTTAAATTTTTATAAAAATATTTTTTTTATAGTTTTTTCTTCCTTAATCAATTAATGGTCAAATATGCAAGTATTTTCGTTATTTCTGAAACGTACAAATAATTACTACGCAAAATAAGTTTCGTATAAAGGAATTTGGCAAACAAATTAAAGCACGTTTTTCGATATTGTAGGTTTTCTTTTTTCCGTTTATTTCGTACCTATTTTAGGGCGAAGAAATATACGTTTTTATTAGTTTTGCTTTATTAAATAATAATAGTTTTGTTTAGAAAAGCAAAGAATTCTTTAGGCTCATGGTGAAACATCGTTTTACCATACACATTTTAAAGATACATTCCACGACTGCACCTTATGGTATTGAACTTAAAATATTTTAAATACAAGAAGTATGAAGTGTTTCTCTAAAGTTTTAAATGTGTCCGACAATTAAACTTAAACTTAAACCGATGAACTTTTATACTTTAACGGTGGGTGTAGGATCAATATGCCTTATGTGGAGTTCTAAAAAAATATGTAGTCATTGAGACAATAAGCGGACCAGGCTCAGATAGTAAAAAAATTAAAGGATTGTGTTACAGTGAAACAAAATAACTTTTAATATTATTAAAGATTTCAGTAAACTGGAAAATATTTTGAGAATGCATAATGTCCTTAAAATTTAGATGTTTCACATTGTATTTTTAATATACAAATATATATTTTTGGCTAAAAACTAATTTGGTCCAGTGTAACATTCAAGATAACATTATCTATATTCAAATATATTTTAATAAGATAAATTTAATTTTCTTTTAACTATATAAAAAATGTGTAAAGTGTCCTTTGTTTGTACATCATATTATAATAGACAATGTCAGTCATTGACATTTTATAAGAGTTATACATAATTGGTTTCATTGATAACCTTCATAAATTATGGGAACATGTTTTTTAACATTTTCTTTAACAAAAAAGATAAGATTATGAACGATTTTCGTAAAATTTACTAATATATGTATGTTTCTAAAATGATTTTCATTTCAAAGTGTATGAGCATTTTAGTATAAAATTCGTATAGAATTTTTGTTATAATAGGTGTAAAAATAACAAGGTCGATGTTATTTTATTTAATCAAAACTAAGATAAGAATTTAGGAAATATTTTCATCAAACTTTTAATTAAAATAACATCTTTTTTAAAGACTTTTTGCCGCTTTCACAATTTCTATGTTTCGTTAATAAAGAATAAAATAAAGGGTCAAAACAATGTCGTCATATGCTAATACAAATTATGGTCCACCACCAGCAATGGGACAAATGAATATGGTAAATGGTATGCCACCTGTACCACAAATGCAGCAGCAGCAATTGCCACCACTACAACAACAACAACAACACCAACAGCAGCAACAACAAATGCAACAAAAGCAACAATATACTGGTATGTCAGCAATGCCTCCTACAATAAATGCCAACATGAGCAAATACATGCCACCATCAATGACCTCAACGTCTGTAACAAATCCAACAGCAGCAATTGGAAATTATACTGCTCCACAGAATGTGAATGGACCACAACCAATGCCGCCAACAAGTCAGCAGCAAACACAAGGTCCTGTAACTAGTAATCTACCACCTCATATGAGGCCTCCCATTGCTAATGGTCCTGGATCCGGAAATAATCTAATGTCGAATGGTGCAAGCACTAATGCCACAGCGAGTGCAAATTCTTCAAGAACTGCTTCGCCTTCTATTCAATTAAATCAACAGCAGCAACAATATCATCCCACAGCTCAGCTCCAACAGCAACAATTTAAACCGGTTATACCTTCTGGCATTGGCAACCAACCACCAACATCATCATCATCATTAACCAACACTACGGCACCATCAAATGTTAATAATCTAACGGGCAGCATGCAAAACTTAAATATTAATCGAATGAATGGTCCGACTATTCCACCCACATCTTTGCCATCGTCCCAGTCTATGCAAATGCCACCAAAAAGTGTACCAATGCCTTCGCAACAACAACAACAGCAACAGGTGAACAATTTTCAGGTGAGCATTAAAGAAATTTATATTTAATCATTTTCTCAATTAATTTGCGACTTGAAATGGAAAAACTTTCTTAAAAATGTTAAAAAAGTTCGATTTTTATCTTCATTTTATGTTTATTTTCACGTTTCAGAATAATTTTAAAACATCAGCTTTGAATGTACAACCACCACCACCAACATCCACTGCTGCACCTAATTTTCCTCCCAATGTTGCGGGAGCACCACCAGGCAGTCGGCCCTTGCAGTCAGTAGCACAGCCTAATACCCTACGACCCCCTACCAGTGGAACATATGGTACGTCTACATCTCCTCTTATGTCGTATCCACAAAGTCCATCACAAAATGCCAATTTTCCAGCAACAACAACAAATACATCTGGACCACTTCCACCAACGTCGACAGCAAGCAACAATACAATGCAACAAAATCAATTAAACAACAACCAAACTCAAATGGGCCAACAACGTAAACCAATGTATCCAACTAATCAACAACTGCCTCCAATGATGCAACAACAGCCGCAGCATCAACCTCCGCCGCCTCTTCAACAGCCATATTCTGCAGCTTATAATTATCCACAACAGAAACAGCAACAACCTGTTGGCACTTCTCAACAACCAGGCATGTTTAATGGACAACCAAATACTGGTCCTTTGCAATATCAAAATCAACCCTATCAACAGCAACAGCAGCAGCCTGGTCAATTTCCTCAAGGTGGCAGTGTTCTTCAACAGGGTTTCAATCGTCTATGGGGTCAAGATACTATAGATCTTATGCAGAATCGTCATATACTCTCACCAGCTACTGTAGCACCACCTAAGATTGTTTTACACAATCAATTTCACGAATCTATTAACTGTAATCCCAAGTAAGTAAAACAAATTGTTGAACATTTTGAATTTTGCAATAAATATAAATAACTTTGATATATATTTTATATTCTTATCTTAGTATAATGCGTTGTACATTAGCTAAAATACCCGAGAGTAATGCACTATTGCAAAAGTCTCGTCTCCCTTTGGGTATTCTTATCCATCCATTCCGTGATATTAATGTAAGTATGATTTTATTTTTATCAACTTCTTTTTTACCATAAACTTTTGTATTTTTATTATTTATTAAAAATGTGTTTTTAGAGCCTCCCAGTTATTCAATGTCCGAATATAGTTCGCTGTCGTTTATGTCGTACATACATTAATCCTTTTGTGTACTTTGTCGATAGTAAAATGTGGAAGTGTAATTTATGCTATCGGGTCAATGAATGTAAGTTGAAATTTTTACCCTATATTTTAATATTTTATTAATTTTAATGTTATTCCCGGGATATATTTACTCTATAATCAAAAATTATTTCTGTCATTTATTTAATACACTCTTTCAGTGCCGGATGATTTTCAATTTGATCCAGCTACTAAAACATATGGTGATGTTACTCGTCGTCCTGAAGTACGTTCTAGTACAATTGAATTCATAGCACCATCTGAATATATGGTAAATAACGGCAACAACAATATTATTTTGTAGATTTATAACTTTAATATTTTCATTTCTTATTACAGTTGCGTCCACCGCAGCCAGCAATATATTTATTCCTATTTGATGTTTCAATAATTGCCCAACAATGTGGTTACTTGGAGAATGTCTGTTCGATGCTTTCGAAACATTTGGATGATATGCCGGGCGATGCTCGCACTCAAGTTGGTTTTATTGCTTTCAATAGCAACGTACATTTCTACAGTATGGCTGAGGGTTATAATCAACCTCATGAGATGACTTTATTGGACATAGATGGTAAATAGTTTTTACATGCATAAGTTTTCTTAATAACACCTTAATAACACCTGCGTTTTTCAAATTTTAGATCCATTTTTACCAAGACCCGATAATTTGTTGGTAAATCTTAAGGAATGCAAAGAATTAGTAAAAGATTTACTAAATCAATTGCCAAAACGTTTTGCTGAAACCCATGATCCAGGTTCAGCTTTAGGTGCTGCCCTACAAGTAGCCTTTAAATTAATGGTAATGTTCATTGAACCCATTACATTGTTGCAACTATTAATTATATTATTTAACTATTTCTATATCAGCAAGCGTCTGGTGGTCGTATTACCGTATTCCAAACGTGCCTTCCCAATAAGGGTCCTGGTGGTTTAGAGCCTCGAGAAGATCCTAACAATCGATCTGCCAAAGATGTTGCTCATCTAAATCCAGCAACAGACTTTTATAAACGTTATGCTCTTGAATGCTCTGGTTATCAAATAGCTGTCGATCTTTTCCTATTAAATCAGCAATATAGCGATTTGGCAACAATATGTAAGTTTTTCTTGATAACCGAGAAGAAAACTCTCAATTCTTATTAAATTACTATTTTTATCATTAGCTGGCATTAGCAAGCACAGCGGAGGTTGTGTCCACCATTTCCCCTTGTATCAGAAGACTAAACCTCAATTGGTGGATTCGTTGAAACATTGCTTTAAACGATATTTGGTGCGTAAGATTGGTTTTGAAGCAGTAATGCGTATACGTTGTACACGTGGCCTTCAAGTACATACATTCCATGGCAATTTCTTTGTTCGTTCGACAGATTTATTATCTTTACCGAATGTCAATCCAGATGCCGGTTATGGCATGCAGGTGAGTTTGATATTAATATTTTTTTTATTAATAAATTTTACAAAATTTTATTTCAACTTTAACAATCTTAGATTTCCTATGAGGAATCATTAAGGGATGTAAAAACAATATGCTTCCAAGCAGCCTTGCTTTATACCAACAGTGAAGGCGAACGTCGCATACGTGTACATACAGTATGTTTGCCAGTGACTGCATCTTTGCCTGAAGTAATGCATTCAGCCGATACGGAAGCTATAATCGGTTTACTTACCAAGATGGCTGTTGATCGGTCAATAACATCAAATATAGTTGATGCCCGTGAGGCGTTCATTAATGCTACAGTCGATATAATGAATGCATTTAAAATTGCACAAAACTTACCATCAGGCCAGACTGGACAACTTATTGCACCACGTAGTTTGTCTCTTATGCCACTATACATTTTGGCTTTGTTGAAACATGTAAGTAAATGGATTGAACTTACGTTGTTTCTTATGAAAAATACAAATTATTATTTAAATTAAAATTAATTTGTTATATTTTAGCCTGCTTTCCGTGTGGGCACCAGTACACGCCTCGACGATCGAGTGTTTGCTATGGATTGTATGAAAACTCTACCTTTAGATCAATTGATGAAGTTTATCTATCCTGAGTTTTACAATATTGATGTATTGTTTTATAACAATAATCAGAATTCAAATGCCAATCCTACAAATGATGATGCTGATGATGAGGACGAATTACCAGTTGTTCAACGTTTGCAATTATCAGCTGAATAGTAAGTTTGAATATACATATATTTATATAACTTTGTTAATAAGTTTTAAAGAACTATTTCATAGAACGAGAGTCAACCAAAAATGTGGTTCTCTCTAAATATACTTTTTAGTAGGTTTCATATTGATATTAAATTATTTTGTACTTTTTAGCTTGGATTCTCGTTCAATATTCTTGATGGATTGCGGCACGTTAATTATGGTATACGTTGGACTCAATGTACCAGTTAATATTCTAGAAAATGTCTTCGGTATGTTTATATTAAAGATATCAATAACGTTACATTTGTTTAAATTGCAAGATTGTAGCAAAATATATAAAAAATGTTATATACAATTATTAAATTAAATTATTTTTAAAAACAGGCATTAAATCAACTGCTGAATTGCCAGACTATTACTACGGTTTACCAAATGTTAATAGTTCGGAAAATGATACACTGAAACGATTTATAATGAAATTAAATGATGAAAAACCTTATCCACCCATTGTACAGATAATAAGGTAATAATTTACATTAAAATGATAAATGTTTTACGACTTGATAGAATAACATCTCTTTTATTATTTCTTGCAGGGATACAAGTACAGCCAAACCTCAACTAATTGAGAAATTAGTTGATGATCGCAGCGAATCTAGTTTATCATATTATGAATTTTTGCAACACATACGGTCTCAGGTTAAATAGTAGTTTAGTAAATGGAAAATAAGTTGAAATTAAATAAATGCTAATAATAATAAAAACTATATTTAGTATATGTAGAAATTAAAAAAAAGGGAAAATCTTAAAAGAAAAAAGATACAAAATAATGTATAATTTTGATGTTATAATGATTTATATACAATATAAAAGTGGACACGATTTAAAGTCCCGTGAAAAAAATGAAAATGAAAACATAAACCACAAAATTTTATCTAAAATAAGTTAACGAAACGATACCAATTGCTTTAGTCATTTTTGGTATTGATTTTCAAAATGTTTTTGTTTACATTAACAAAAAAACTTCATACATAAGTGTGTTTTGTCTTTAATTTAATCGTAATTTATTAATATGAATGAAGTGGAAATGGAAAAAAAAATGAAAAGAATGTGTTTGTGCAATTCGTTTTTGTTTTGGTTAATAAAATTAAACACACTCATATTTATATTTAGGTATTATCTCTTAATAATATTTTATAAATATAAAAACGAAACATTAAAACGTGATAGGAATTTTTAATAATTAAAAAGTATATAAATAAAACATGTTTGAATTAAATAAAACATGCACGCATGTGTTATTAAAATACATATTTAAAAAATAATTGAAACCATTAACTGAAACTGAAATCCGTATGTGCAGTATACTTTATCTAAAACTAACGAATGTAAAAGTATATGTGTTTGTTCGTTTTTTTGCATTGTCAGGTAGTAAAAGAATTCTAAATTTTATTTTTATTATTAATATATGTAAGTTCTAAATATGCAACTCAAAAGCCTCATTACAATAGTTGTAATGAACGATTCTGTGTTTTTTTTTAAATAAAGAAATTCAGCGTCCCAATTATTTTCACAATTTTGTAGTGTTTTTGTTTACAAATTGTTATGAAGTATATTCGTTTTATATTTACAAATATTTAAATTTGTTAAATATTTTTTTATTTCAAAAACTTAAGTATTCCAAAATTTAAACATTGGCTGCTTATTTTTTTAACAAATTAAAAATAATCATTTAAACAAATTTCTTTAATTTCCAAAAATTATTAATACTTCATAATAATTTATACAATTATTTTTCAAAAATAATTATTTTTAGTTTTTGATCTATTAGTCATTTATAGAATTATATTATCTTTATGGTGTTAAGCTTTTTCCAAGTTTTTTGATGCATTTTACTTTCTCGTTTTCTGGTACAACGACGATATTTTGTTTAACATATCCTAATTTTTTGTTGTTTTTATCTGTGCTTATTCCTATTTAAAATTATTTTTTTTTTTAAACTTTGCAATTTATTTTTTATTTATTAATTATTTTTGTTTTTCATACTCTCAAGCTTAAAGCTTTTTGTTTCTTTTGTTTTTCTTTTTCTATTTATTTGAATGAAAATATTAATATTTCGTTCGTTTTAAGATAATAAAATATTTGTAATAGTTGATAAAAAATAAACAATAAAAAGGAAAACTAGATTTTTATTATGTTGATAAAAGTAATTATTTATATATATTATAAATATATACCTACATACCTATAAATAGATATGATTTACAATAAATTCAAATAAAAATTTAAATAATTATTATAATGATTATTATACATTGTGGATAAAGTATAATTCAACCATTATACTACATATTTAGTAATAAATAATTATACATATTAAATACATAATTCTATAAACACATGAAATGTTTTTATTAAAAAAAATCATAAGAAAGTAATTACGACTACTATCTACATTTAATTTAAATAAAATGAAAAATATATATCCGAATAAAGTAAAAAGTTTCCCAATATATTTATTTTTGTTTTAAAGTAGTATATTAGTACAATGAAATTAAGAACACGTTTAAAGCTTATAGTATTCACACGAATTTTCGTATGACAATTCCCATCTCCTTATTCATTCAGGTATCAATCTCAGTTGCATATTTAATCTCAGTATCAATCTCAGTTGCATATTTAATCTTTTGGTCTGGACCTATAGTGATATTAGTACAAGTCGAGATTACGGCGAGCCAAGAAACCAAACTGGCCAATCTGCGTTGTAATAATTACAATATTTTACGACTTTATCTAACAGCAGCTCGCCATCAGCATGGATTCATTCCGTAAGATGGACAGCACCTCCTCAGCATTAATCGCCATAACTACTCAGATATCACAGGGCTTAAATCAGCAGAGGCCTTGTAGAAGGACACTCCTAGTGGCGCTGGACTTATAAAAGGCCTTCGATACAGTCAGTCATACCAGATTCTTCCAGGACATCCTGCAGCCCACCATGCCCAACAACTTGAAGATATGGATTGTGAATTATCTGAGTGGTCGTTAGTCCTTCGTTGTGTTTAGAGACAAATATGTGTCCTATCCCCCATACAGTTTAACTTCTAACTCTCAAAACTCCCCACACTTCCACAAGGTGTGGAAGTTATATCATATGCAGACAACTGTACCATTATGGCGACGGGTCAAAACGTTGATGAGCTTTGCGATCGAGAGTATGATTATCTCGGAGAAATACACAACTTCTTCACTTGACGTAACATAAAACTGTAACCAGCGAAGTCTTTAGCAACACTCTTCTTGGGTTTATTCTTCGATAGAACCCAAATACTGACTGTGAATCATTCCAAAGATTTTGGGGGTCATCTTTGACAGCCTGTTTACCTCCTCAGCTCATGCCATTACGCACAAATTGCGAAATAGAAACAAGGTCCTCAAATAAACCTTGTTGGCTACCTACACAACAATTGGTAGGTCAGTGGTCAATTATGCTGCTCCAGTGTGGTGTTCTTCGCTGAATGATACCTAGTGGGGAAATATTAAAAACTGCCAAAATGCCGCCTCGGAGCACCACCTACATTAGGAAACGAAGGTCCTCTCAGTCAAGTTCCTCCAGGTATGTCACTGGAGGAATCATTCCAACTTTAACATCACACAGTTATGTATATGCTCCCCCGAGGCAAGCCAGGAAGGACTTTCATGCATAAGAGGAGACCATACGAAGATAGGTGCAGGAACCCTGGGATCATAATTCGTATACAGCAGCTTTGAACGACATTCATAGAGACGCCATCAATACTGCGCTTTCAGGTTACCGCATGAATGTCGAAATAGAGACCGGCCGGGGAAAACACAACTGAGATCTGGATGGAGCAACAAGCTCAACGCCTACTGGACCCGCATAGACCATGCCGTCATCAATATATGCCCATCATGCGGAGAGGGTCCCTATGATACCCACCACGTATTCAACGTATCCAGCCCACCCTACTTTACTTAGCCCAATGGATTTATGGACTAACCCAATTTCTTGGCTTGGACCTAAATACAGAACCCCTGGATTAAAAATTGCATAGTTTAAGCTGTTACAACAACAACATAGGCCCACTAGAACTATGGTTAGTTGCACGAGCTCACCATATTTTGCAATTTATACTTATCTACCCATAATTATTAAGCTCGACAAACCAATCGACTTTATCGCCTCTGAACACCGAACTTATAAAAATCAGCAAAGGCGACTGAATAGGCTTCAGAGAATTTACCAACTGTAAATTCAGGAGTGTAAACGCCATCGTTCTAACTTGCGCCCCACATAAATAGAACTCCAGAAAATCGTCCTAGCAGCTGCTAGCATCAGCTGCAGAATTACCTGATGACAGAGACGAAACCCGAAGAACCAGTCAGAATATAGCACGTCGACAGGGATAACGTAAAAAGAAGTATTGAGTCAGACCTCTTATGGTGCTTTTAACAGACGGATGAACACGGCTAGATCGGGTGGGTTAGTTAGGGGTTTTTGAGTTAAAGATTAATACAGTATAACAATTTTAAAATATTTTCATACACACGAACAATTTCATATATGCGAAAGACTACCTAGAATAAAAAGTCCATTTAGAAACACTGGAAACAAAGTTTTCAGTATCTAGTTTCATATATCAATTTGTATGTAATGCACGGTGGGAATAAAAATACATACATATGTACATATTAATATTTTTTATCTTTCACATTTTTTTTATAAAATATTGTAAAAAAACAAAACTCTGATATATTTAAAAACTTATAGTCAAATTGTATACGATGGTCAATTAGTACAAAATACATTTTAGTAAAATACTTCAAATACGCAAAAATTTATTCAAGATAAGATAAACTACACTAATTGAAATAAGCTTTTATTCTTTTTTACTTGTAGGGAAATCTCATTATCGTTCTATACCTTTTGTAGCCCCAATTATAATTATAGTGGGTTCAAGTTCAAGTTCAATTCCATTATATTACATTTCCGTAAGCAATGTGCATTTATTTTTTAATTAAAAATAAATACAAATATGTATACTCTTTGTGTGTATTAGAGTGCTTCGAGATAATATTGATAAAAACGTGTCATATATGTAAAAAATAAAAAATGGTCTCTAAAACCAATTTAAGTTTTGATAAATAAAGTCAAGTTTATATTCAAAATTTTATTTAAATTTTTTTGGGAGTTAACAAAACTAATCGTAATTTGGGCAAACTAGAAGAAAATCTATTATTAGAATAATTACTACGAAATTGGAATCAAATCAGTCGGAATGTGTGAGAGACCTAATAATATTACATGTCATCAGGTGTATCAATTTGAACTACGTGAACAAGGAAAAAGCTTTTACTAATTTAACAAAAGTTTGATTTTCTTTAATCTAAGTATGTAGTTGTTTTATTGTACAATATATTTTTAAAATCATTAAAAAGATTCACAATCGTATAAGTTTCGAATATTTAATACATGTGCAACTTCTTATCACAAAAATTTTCCCGCAGAGTTGAAGTTTAATCGCCGCAATTACACATAAAACAAAAAAAAAAAAAAAAATTAAAACAAGTATAAAACAAAGTATAATTCGGTTATACTGAATCTTATATACCCTTCTATTCCCATAAGTTCTTGCATTCAGTAATAATTGAAAGAACCGAATCGAAGTAACAATCGAAAGATATAGTATTTATTCCAACAAAAAACGGAATCGTAAGAAAAAGAAGACTCAATTCCTTTTCGTTT